CTGGGCATTTTTATGGAGTTAAGGAAACCCAGAAAAGGTTAAGAACCACCATACAGAAAATGAGCACACTTACTTGTGATTTATTTTCTGACACAAAATATAAGAACTAGTAAGGAGTTTTTTGTAAGTTTGGGATACTTATCTTTATTTACATTAAAAATATGGGATTTCAAGAAACATGCACATACTTCTCAGATGTGCTTATTATTTTCATGTGATAAAAATGGGACTAGGTACAGAAATGATTTATTAATAAAAGGTACAACAAAAACCATTCTCATTTGTTTAGAAACTATTAATAAGAAATTAAAGAATTTTAAAACTGACTTTTAATAGTACAATTTTAAAACATTTTATTACTTTACTCAAGGATAAATGTGTTCATATGCTGATATGGCAGCCTATGAAATATATACAGTACAGCAGAAAAAAAGAACACAAGAGATAGAAAGAACATGTGACAAGCTCTTTAAGAGTCTAAAATCTTTAAAGTCCCTTATACATTTTCACAAACACATTTTAATTAAAAATAATCCTTTGTAACAAATTATGATTATATGAATAAAAACTGTTGAAGTAGTGTTCTTTTTATCAAAATATGCCAAAAAGCAGGGTTAAAAAGAAATTTAATTGGCTTTGAAACATTCAGGTTGAAGGACCAAGTCAAACATTTTCTCCTTTATAGCTGTACTTAATTCAATGTAAAAAATGTCTGGATTATCACTAATGTATAATAAATAGTTTAGTATGAATTTACATTGTATGTGTCCACATTAATGATGCACATTTTATTTAAATACATTAATTTTTAATACATTGGGCTGATAAAAACAGTGAATATTTAATGAATGATCACCATGTTCTATACACTATGCATGCTGCTTAACTTAAGGTCATCAGTATCCTATGCAGAAAGAGTCCTATCTATTAGTTGGCACAACCGGTTATTTGTTACCAGCTTAAATAAAAGTTAATATCACTGTGACATCCCCACAGTGTAGAATTGTTATTTTGCCAAAACTTAAAACTATAAAAACTTTAATCCAGTTTTTACTTTATAATTTACATACTATCCTCTTACAGAGTGTGACAGGACCTTTACTCTCAACTGTGGATGCCAGTTGGACCTTTTCAAGCTCATTATCACTATATATATGCTAAAAGTTTTTTTCAACTAATTTTTTTTGTTGCCTCTTAAGTTTTATGCTTATAAATGACACACACTTACAAAACAAGGTGTTCTGGAAATTTTAGGTAACAGCTACCATAAACAATAATATTGGAAAGCCTAGTTCTATAGTGCTAGACCGTGATAGCTTTAAAAGATACTCTTATTTAATATAGCCAACAAGGAAAAGAGACAGGTGCATTGATTCTCGTACTTACAGATGAGAAAAATGGAAAGTTTGTCACATGCCCAAGGTCCTGTAGCTAGTGACATAATTAGCATTTAGACTTAGTATGTCAGACTTCAAAGCCCTAAATCCTTTTCAATAAAAACCGTATCTTCATTTAGTTAGCTTAAAAATTTAGATTTAATTCCAAATAGCTTAATATTGACTTTTTAAAGTTTATCTTGAGAGAGAGAGAGACAGAGAACATGAGTGGGGAGGGGCAGAGAGGGAGAGAGAGAGAATCCCAAGCAGGATCTGCATTGTCAGCACAGAGCTAGATATGGGGCTCGAACCCACGACTGTAACCTGAGCTGAAGTCAAGAGCCCAAGGCGTAACCAACTGAACCACCCGGTGCCCCTTAATATTGACTTTTTAAACAATGACCTATAAATAAAGAATTCAAATCATGAAAAAATGGTTGTCATCAATTATAAATGATATAGGGGCGCCTGGGTGGCGCAGTCGGTTAAGCGTCCGACTTCAGCCAGGTCACGATCTCGCGGTCCGTGAGTTCGAGCCCCGCGTCGGGCTCTGGGCTGATGGCTCGGAGCCTGGAGCCTGTTTCCGAATCTGTGTCTCCCTCTCTCTCTGCCCCTCCCCTGTTCATGCTCTGTCTCTCTCTGTCCCAAAAATAAATAAAAAACGTTGAAAAAAAATATTTAAAAAAAAAAAAAAAGAAATACCCAGAGTTATTACAAACTGAAAAACAATTTTTTTAAAAAAAGTAATTCAAATTATCAAGTAACTGGAATAAAATTGCTACACTTTACCTTCGGGTAGGAATATTAACATCTGCCAGTGTATACAGAGGTGTTAGGCTTGACACAAGATAATGCAGTTGAGGAAAAGGAACTAAATTCATGCTGATTTCATTAAGATCCATATTAAGGGACCCTTCAAACCTTGCAGAGCTAAAAAATTAACATTAAAGCAAGAGAAAAAAAATTAACTTAAAAATTTTATACTTTGAATGTAGCTTGATTTATTCAGCAGGCACTTTTAAATCCTTTTGTACATTGTTCTTCAGTTAGGAAATATATGCTCTTTTTTTTTCTGTATTAGTGAAATTTAGTATCATGAACATCATGTATAAAGATAATTAAAATATACAACATCTATAGCAATTCTTATTTGTGGATTATATGAGGTGTAACCAACACACTGTAATGCTGCACGTTACATACACAAAAATATCTTACCTAAAATAGACTTTAGGTGGAATTAAACACATACAGGTCAATAATTATTTAATTATCCTATATATTTTACTAAATTTGTTAAGAGTCTGCTTAGTGTGCTCTCTAATTTGGAATATAATAAGGTCAAAGCAATCTTCCAGATCGAAGTCAAGGAGAAATTTTGGACAGCTAATGAATGAGGAGGTAAACATTAGCTGGCTTAAAAGATGGAAGACATTCTACAGCCAAACAAACCAACCAACCATGCTTACTTTTATCTAACCAAGTTCTCAACTGTCTCTGTGACAATTTTTTTTTCATTTGATACCCATTAATATTCTATAGAATGTATCTGAGGAAATGTTGCTTTGGAGCTGTAGAAATTACAATTCTGGTCTGTCACTCCAAGATCTCAAAATACTAGACAAAATAAAATAAAAAGAAGCTCTTATGACCTAGAACAACTAAAAAGTTCTACTACAAAAATGCTACTGCAAGCATCATCAGAAGCAAAGTGAAGTCTGTAAACTGTCCTTAGGTATACCATCAATACGATTACCTGGTTAGGTTCAGCAGCAAATTTGCCACAATGTTGTTCATCGCATCAAAGGGCTTCTGGTGCTGCTTTTTCAAAGCCCCAGCACTTGAAGTAACCAGACTCTTTGGCTTTATAGTTGTACCCAACTTTCCAGAATTCACCATGAGGTCAATTTTGCTAATGATGTCAAATAAAGACTTTTAAAGGAAAAATATTGGGAGAGAAGCTATTAAGAGCGGACACAGATGACATTCTACCAGGAAGAAAGGAAGAGAAAGAAAAACAATTTAAACTTATTTTTCCTCTTAGGTGGGAAAGCTGAAAGGTGAAGACAATGTTTCATATGCACATACATGCATAACATAGGACTGAATGTATACATGATATATCCATAAGTTACAATGTCATTTCTTACTTGGTTGTCAATGGGCAACACACAGTCTGCATGCTCATTAAGTTCCTTCATTGCCAAGATGCTATTATAAGGTGAGGTTATGACATCATCCTCACCAGAAGGATAAATTGAAGTCACAAATCTGTATACTTCTGGGAATTCGTCCTCAAGCACCTTTAAGAGAAACGTGCCAAGTCCAGATCCTGTTCCTGAGGATTAAAATTGCAAAGAAAGAAAACAAAACTCAGCACAAATGATTTAGAATAAAATTGTGAGGAACCTGGAATTTTGTTTTTTTTTTTTTTGTAGAAACATACGTTAAAAACCAAAGCCATTATAGAGAAGACAGTTTTAATTCCATTAAAATATTTTAAAAGCCATATAAACATATACATATAGAACCCATAAACAAAATAAAAAAGGTAAACTAAGAAAAAAATCTCCAACGCATATGAAGGACTAAATTTCTTTCATAAAGAGGTCTCACAAATCAATAACCAAAAAGCCATGAATAGAAAAATGGGGAAAGTATGTAAACATGCAATTCATAATAAATCAATTGGTGAATAGATATGAATGTGCTTAACCTTTCTGCTAATCAAAGCCATCCAAATTAAAACAATCCAATTTTGAATATGTTAGATTCAGGTCTTCTAATACTCAGTGTTGGTGACAGTGTGGGGAAATAAACTTGTATAAATTGTTCGGTGAAATAATGTGGCAAGGTATTTATTAACATGCATCAAAATTTAAAATGTACATATTCTTTGGTCCCACTTTCCTTTTGGGAATATTACCTACAGCTATAGAGGCACAAATGAGCAGAAATGTAAGTATCAGATATTCAACTGAGGACTGTGTTTAATAACTGAACACCATAAACTTAACATCTACTAATGAGAAACAGACTTTAAAAATTATTATAGTAACACAATTGAATTCTATGAGACAGAGATGACATTAAAAGACATTCGGGAAAGACAAAGGGAAAAAATTACAGAGTAATAAGCATCTCATGATCTTGTTTATGTAAAAATATACACACATACGTAACAGGCATAGAAAATATCTGGAAGGACAGACATTGGCAAACTCGATTACCCGTGAGGAGAGAGACTAGGAATTAGATGTGAGAGAGGAGACCATTTTTAACCTTCACTATTATTTACTTTTGCCAGTAAATTATGAATAAAGTATAATCTGAGATTTTGAATAGATGGATTTAAAAAGGCACCATAATGAAATATAAATCAAATTGTTTCTTTTTTTTAAAACGGATCCAAACTTGTTGGTTAATGATACTAGTACGAAGAGAAATTTGTTTCTTAATTCAGTGATTACAATGGTCCTCTAAAGGCATGGTTTACGTAGCAATTATAACTTTAATTTTAAAATGCTATCATACTGCATAATAGATATATAGAAAAAATCAATTTACATAACCTGTTGAATATAAAATCTTAATATCAGCTTGAAGAAAAATAGCATGGCAAATTTTTCTTTTAAAACTCGCTAATCCTATTTGAAATTAGCAAAATACAATGTTTCTAGTTCATAGAACAGAGGAGCAAAGTACTTCATTTGCAAGGTACAGGCTTTCCAGGGAAAAGAAAGCAATGCAGATCATTTATTATAGGTCAAGGTAATTACCATGTAAGGAAAGATTTAAAGGAGCTGACTAAAAGGATTTCTTTTATTTATGTCTCTTATTGGACACAAGAAAGATCTGAAGGTAGCTGAAGAATACGGACATTTTTAAGCCAGAAATGCTTAGCTCTAGTTAGGATATGAGATTGCACAAACAAACCCTTAGGAGAAAGTCAGCATTCCCAGAAAGCTCATATATACTGAAATATAGTCAGAAATTTTATAAAAGAAACTAAAGGTAGAAGAAAAAAAATTCAGATTCAGTTCTACTATCTCTTAAAAGGGCTTAAATTAAAAAAAAATGATAATAGGAAAAAATCTGACAAAAATCTAAAATAAAAAGCAGTTATGTACATGCTCATAAACACAGAGTGTTAAAAGTTCTACCTTTATTAAGCATAGGTCTGAAAACATCCTTCAGTTTGCAAAATGAGTTCCCATTTACACTTTCACATGATTATAGGGAAATGAGTGAATAACTTTACCTCCTCCCATGGAATGTATTATAAAAAAACACTGTAAACAATCACAGTGCTCTGCCGACTTTCTGAGTTTCTCTAAAATCTGTTCTTGATAAAGCCTGCCAAAAACTTTGTGACCCACAGCCCTGAAAAAAAAGACATAAATCACAAAATCACCCTGGCATTTATTATTTCAAGGTTTTATTATTTCTGATCCAAATGAAAAGATTATAGAAAAACTTGAAAAAGTATTTTTACTGTATTAAGTACATTCTTCTGGTTTCGTATCAATAAATCATATGATGATATTTCAAAGACACTAGGTAGAAAATGTAACAAATATAAAAATATCTATAATCCTCAAATATCATGACAAAATAGAGCATTATCAATGGCTATTAAACTATGGTTTTCTAAATTTATCTTCTCTTTTTTTTCTTTAGGCATAATTATAAGAATTTATTTCCATAGCTGTTTCTCATCTCCATTTAAAATAAATTCTGATTGCAGTAAATTTTACATATTAAAAAGCAGAACACAGTCAACTAGAATGACAATAAAAATAAAGACTTTTGAACATATTGGTTTAATATGTGAGAAAACATAAGTCATGTTGTGTTATTAGATAAACTGGCACACAAAAGAACACTGATACTTATAAGACTCTGCAAGCTTTTTTGGTTAATCAGATTTGCAAGTAGCACTTTGATGCATTAAAAATGATTAAATGATTAAAAAAATGAATGAATGATTTTCCCACAACATATAGTCAGGTTGTATAACTCAAAAATTACAGAAAGATTACACAATAATTAGTGGAAAGCCAGTTAAGTAGGCATATGGATTCATTTAGTGACTGGTTCTCCCCAGATGAATCTCTAACAATGTAAAATGTAAATTCATGCTTTAAATTTTTGTTTATTTAAGTAATCTCTACACCCAACATGGGGCTCAACCTTAGGACCCATCGATCAAGAATTGCACACTCTTCTGAAAGAGCCAACCAGGTGCCCCGTAATTACACATCACTACACATTAGGAACTTGAGGGATTGCCTGTAAATAGATAAAATAACAAATACTAGGTTTGCAAATAACAAGGAGCTACTTAATTTTTAAAAAACAGCAAAAATTGTTTCAATGGAAACTATTAAATGATCATTGTTGAAGCCTTTTACCCCATTAAGGAGATCAGACCATTATATATTTAAGAGCTAAACAGCCTTGGGCTGAGCCTAAATGCTGGGACACTGGTCTGGCTTGCATCTCTTATCAATTCTATTAAATCTGACCAACTGAGAACTTGATAGAGTCAAATAACACAGGTAAGAGAAGAGTTTATAAGAATACTTAAACTTTTGTTACTATTTAGTATTTTTTTTTTTTTAGAGTTTATTTATTTTTGAGAGAGAGAGAGAGAGAGAGAGAGCGAGCATGAGTAGGTGAGAGGCAGAGAGAGAAAGGGAGACACAGAAGCTGAAATAGGCTCCAGGCTCTGAGCTGTCAGCACAGAGCCTGATGTGGGGCTCGAACTCACAAACCGCGAGATCACGACCCAGGCCAAAGTCAGATGCTTAAACAGCTGAGCCACCCAGGTGCCCCTAGTATTATTTAAGAATCGATTTACAACAAGGACTTTGGTAAATCAATTATTCATGATTTTTTTCTTAAAAAAAAAAAAAATGAGAAAGAACTATGATACAAGTGGCTTTTCAGCACTGAGAAACACCATCATTTATCAAGGAAAAGATGATGGGCTGAAAAGCCTAGAGGTAGGTATAGCAGGTTAGATCTTGCTTTCATGTTAGCAGGACCTATTAGAATGAAGGAAAGATTGTTCCTTTTTTTTTTCCAGAGGACATTCAATTTTTACATACAGCACATTCTCACCAATTATTCCCTGAGCCAGAAATATCAGTGATGAGCTGCTTGCTGTCAAACACATCTCTCAACGGTCCCTGCAGAATTTCATTTACTACCCCTTCCTCCATGTCAATCAAGACAGCCTGAGAAAGAGAAATGAAATTTAATTAGCATATTTTTCTTTAGAGCTAGTTATTCTGTGAATTAATTTATGAACTAAAAGTTGCATTGTTCTCTTTACAGTTTAAGCTTAATCAAATCTTTATTTGGATCTTTATGTAGAATCTGTTACAAGAATGAAAAAGTAATTTCACTCTCCTCAGGAGGCGGAATACAATTAAAAGAGGGATTCTAAACTCTTATCCTACTCCAAAATACCATGTGGGGGAAAAAAAGGAACTGAATAATCCCCTCAACTGATTTTCTAACAATTCTTTTTTTCATGTGCCTACGTGACTGTAAATGTTTTGAGAACAAGGTCTCAGAAATTTAAAAGGTGCCTAACTAGAAAAAAATTCTCAATAAATGTAGGGTACATTAATGCATATTTGCTCACTAGAGCAACCATGCTGCTCTTCAGGAATCACACCCCAAACTGTCCAATTCAAATCAGTAAACTTATTACGTGCGAACCAAGGCACTGGATCAACGTTAAAGATGACAATAGGGCCCCTATGCCCAAGAAAACCTAATTCGTTACCACAAACATTATTGACATGGGAGATAACCTCTATTCCTCAGAGGAAAATGAAAATATAAAATATAAAATTAACTATGGAAAGAAAAATAGAAAAGACTGGAGGAAAATACAGCAAAATGTAAGCAGGGATGGCAGTAGAATTATATTTATACTTCCCACATCTTCTACGCTGAGGAAGATGAGTGAAAAGGGAAATAAATAAATTAAAAAGCTAAAAAAAATATGAAATAACCTTAGGGCACACTATGAAGCTATTAGCTTTGATTCAGTGTCACAGAGAAAGTGCTTGGTTTATGGGCTTCTTCAGTGCTTGTGACCCCGTAATGTTAAGCGCTTATGACATGGCACTGTTCTAAGTGCTCTGCATTTGATCCTCATCTTACGCGTAGGTACTATAGTTACCCTCACTTAACACATGAAAAAAACTGAGGCCTAGGAAAGTTAAATAACTTTAGCCCAGCTAGTAAGTGACAGAGCTAAGATTCAAACCTGCAGAATCTTCACTCTTAACCACCAAACTCTATGCTCTACTATCTCATTGAGAGGAGCCAGTCAAGTTCAGTATTTATGGAGTACTAACTGTTGTGAAGTTATAATTTATGCCCATTTAAATTCTGTGAATTAAACTGTGTAATTAACGATGCTACTATAAGCAAGCAATTTAAAAAATTATCTTACACAGTATATCAGAAATATTATATTTCTAATTGTTTAATAGTATATCAGAAAGACTACACAATAATTATGTACTGCAAATGCAATCTTTTGTATATAGCAAGCAATATGCATACACTTTATGTATACTGGACTATATAGGGCTATTTACTGGTAATTTAGGGGTTTTCTAGGATATTTTACGATGATATGCAATTTTTACCTTAAATGTTGACTTTAACATCTAATCAACCACATAAGAGACACTTCACTGTCTGGGCAAACTGTAGTGTACTACAAGTTGTGTAGGATTACAAAGAGAAAAAAAATAGCTTATAATGGCAGTGTTCCAAAACAGACTTAAGATAATTTGTGGGAGATTACCTAAATTACCTTAAAGCAACATGCAAAATACAAAGTGACATTCAAGCACCTCTGGAAGTCAGTTTTGATAGAAGCGTCACAATTCCTCCCATAGCATCTAAACTGCCTTTCTTGTTATAAAAATAACTTATCACCAACTGGAAAAAGCAGTTTGTTGTAGACAATCACGGAAGAGAAGTGTTGCTGGAATGAGTTTAACACTAAATATGGGCTACTGACTCGAAGCATTTTTGTTCAAGAGGTCTTACATGGTTGTGGTATTCACTATAACGTGGCTGGATCCATGCTTTGTATTGGGAATAGTAATTCGGATGCAAAGAAATCTTCCACTATCTTCAAATGAAAAATTAACCTGCATTAATATATGTTTCAGGCTTAGAGTTAAGGAAATTCCTTTTGTTATCATCTATCTAGACGTAGCTCTTCCCTGAAACATTCACACACAAAAAATGCTAAATACGCAGTGTTTTTATTTAAAGCACAAAACTTTCCCCCTAACGTTTCAGGTAGACATAAATGTCTGCTTATTTATATTAAAATGTGACTTAGTACTTTAAAAAAAAAATTTTTTTTTCATGTTTCTTCATTTTTGAGAGAGAGAGACAGAGTGTGAGCAGGGGAGGGGCAGACAGAGAGTGACACACAGGATCCAAAGAAGGCTCCAGGCTCCAAGCTGTCGGCACAGAGCCCAACACATGCAGGGCTCAAACTCACAGACCACAACAAGATTATGACCTGAGCCGAGGTCAGTTGCTCAACTGAGTGAGCCACCTAGGCACTCCAGTAAAAACTTTTCTTAATTTGAGAAGTCAAATTAAAATTTTATTCTCATGATAGTTACCAAAGTATAGTTATTTTAAAAGCACATGTGATAAAAGAATCTAAGCATATATATCATCTTACTCTTGCTTTCAAGGAACAAATTTTCCCCTTGGAAATAATGCCACCATCACCAACCACTCTGAAAGATAAAAAATGAGAAAAGGTCATAAGATCTTCCAAGGCTAACAGTGCTATTAGATAATAAAGTTAACTCCACTTATATAATAAAGCTACTTATAGGCCTAGAGGGGCAGGCACAAAAGGCAACAGCGAAGATGCCATTCCTCTCCCTCTCCCTTCCCTACCCTCCTATTAGGCTGAAAAAGTGACGTACTTTTCCCCCTGGCTTTCTTTGTAGTTAGGGCCGGCCATGTAATGCAGTTCTGAGATAAAAAGCAGGTATGCTGGGAAGTGTTTCTGATAAAGAGGACCAGATGCTGTTGGTGCTTGGCATATAAACATGAATATAGATGCATGGAGTGAATATAGATGCATGGAGTGCACTTTACAGTTATGAAATAATAAATATGAGGACAAGAAGCCGACACCACATGAATAATGAAGTGACAGTGCCTCGGTCTTTAAGGCACTTCTCCAAGCCTAGATCATGTGATTTCCAGATTTCTTTGTATGAGGTATCTGGATACTTTTACTGCTTAAGCCACCAGTTACATATCACTGTATATCTCAGGCTGTTCCTAGAATTTCATGTTGAACAAAAGTTACTAAAATAACTACATCTATGACCAAACATAGATATAAGTTTATATAAGTCAATACAGTAGATAAGAAGACAGAATATATGAAAGGAAGTCGGATTGAGCACAGATGATGCTCTAGGTCGAGCTGGTAAACTACGGTCCTTGGTCCAACTCTGACCAGCTGCTTATTTTCCTACATAAAGTTTTGTTCAAACACAGTCTTTCCCATTTGCTTGCTTATGCACTAGGAAGCTATACCTGCATTCCCGCTACAACAGCAGAGTCAAACAAATGTGACAGAACTTATGGTCTGCAAAACCTAAAATATTTACCATCTGGTCCTTTACAGAAACGGCCTGTTAACCCCTAGTATAGGTAAATTCCTAGTATGCTATTAAAAAGGTATGGTCATCTTGTCAAATAGATATGGAAGTGTATACAAATATGTGGTCTTGTTTTTTTTTTAAATTTTTTTTTTTTTCAACGTTTATTTATTTTTGGGACAGAGAGAGACAGAGCATGAACGGGGGAGGGGCAGAGAGAGAGGGAGACACAGAATCGGAAACAGGCTCCAGGCTCTGAGCCATCAGCCCAGAGCCTGACGCGGGGCTCGAACTCACGGACCGCGAGATCGTGACCTGGCTGAAGTCGGACGCTTAACCGACTGCGCCACCCAGGCGCCCCGGTCTTGGTTTTGAAAGATTTGTTTGTATTAATGTGGAGGCTCCCAGGTGTTGATAGTACATAGAATACTAAGATACCAAGACTCAGCTCCCCTTTTTGGAGAAACTCGGGATTGGGGAAATAAGAATGTTTTCAGGTTTAAATTACAAAACAGAGTAGGTAAGAGTACAGTTATGTAGTCAATTATTAAGAACGAACAGCTGCCAGACTGAGTCTCAACTAAGTAATGCTTGAAGAAAAAAAAATTTTTTTTAATTTATTTTTGAGAGAAAGGGTGCCAGCAGGGGAGAGGCAGAGAGAGAGAGGGACAGAGGATCCGAAGCCTGCTCTACGCCAACAGGCTGACAGCAGTGAGCTCGATGCAGAGCTCGAACTCATGAACCGTGAGATCACGACCTGAGCCAAAGTCAGATGCTCAACCGAGCCACCCAGGCGCCCCTCAACTAAGTAATACTTAGTGAAAGGATTGGCCATCTCGAGTAGAGGGGATGAGAGTGGAAATTTAGTTAGAAGCATGTAAAAGGAAGTATTACAAAGGCAAATTTTAGTCTCTTAACAGTATTTAGGGGGAAAGGATGCTCTAGAATCTAGTTTTAGGTTCCGGGGAATCTAGATGGCAGATATTTCCACATAATAAAAATAAATGACACCAGCCATTAAGGTACTACACCTAACTTCCCTTGGCCTGATTCCATGGTCACCAAGCAACTTTCTACTATTTAGCTTTTCAGGTAGATTTCCTACAGAAGAGAATGCACTTTCGAAAGTAAAGGAAAATCTAGTGCTCTGGAGTTACCGTCCCTACTGTCAATTCCTACATTGACTTTCTGCTTTTTAATCTCCCATTCTCTTTGAGTTTGGTTTACCGACCTGTGCTGGAGAGCAATGGACTTATTCTCAAGATGTCAACAAGTTTTCTAAGTTTACAAGCCTGAGGGTCAGACTCTGGAATTCACCAGGGAAGTGGGGGTTCATTAGCTTTCTCTAGGAGATAACTACCTCAAATACCCAACAAACTAATTCAAACTAGAACCAGAATTTTTATTGAATTACGATAAAGATGGATATTCACTATAGACTTTTCAGTTCAAGTCCACCACAGTTTAAGTAAAACACACACACTTAACGATTAAACGTTAAACATTACGGACACACCTTGAATGTCAAAATTACTCTCTCAGGTAAAAGATAGTTATATAGATTCTTTATTAAAATCAACAAAAGTAATTTGACAGTTGCTTTCCTTCCTTTTAGCACATTCTATTTATAGAGCAAATATTCTTGACTACAAATATCACAGAAGTGTAAAAAAAAAAAATACATTTTTCTTTCAAAAGTTGGCCATTCCTGAATGCATTAACAAGATACACTGAGGGAAATTTTCAGCAGTCCTTCAGTAAAACTTTATTTCAAGGTCATGTTAAAAGAAGGCCCACTAAAGGTTCTTTTGTTCCTTAACATGGTCTTAAAAGGAAACCTGCTGTCTTGCTCTGCAGAATAATATGAGAAATATTAATGATATGGGAATAATAATGGGAAAAAATGCTTTCAATACTGAGAAAAACAAACTAACAAACAACCCAGACAACTTCTTTATAGTTACCAACTATTTAATTATCCTTTGAAGAATTCTCTCCCAATCTGATGACATGAAAAGAATCATTATGCTATGTGACAGACTTTAATCCCATCTTACCTGGTATCCACATTTCGAAAGAAGCTGCTTATTGCCTCGTCATAAATTCCTTTCTAAAAAGAAAAAAATATATTTATAGCATTTGATTAAGTTTTGCTTCTTTCCCAAATGAAATCCTTTCGATTTAATATTCTCACAATATTGTAATGGCTGGTATTTGGCTATGATAACAACAACAAAAATGCAAGTTATCAAAAAATGCTCAGACTTCTTCCTCCCTAAAAGGTAAATGCCGTAGGATCTATGGATAAAGTTTAGCTGAGGGCGCTAAAGAAAGAAGCCGCATAGGATTGCAGAACAGGTGCATCAAAAGAGCGCTTTCTCTGGATTCCTGGTGATCATTTTAAAGTTGACTAAATTCAGGAATATAATACCACACACGTTACCTGTTTTACAAAGTACTTCCCCAAATACTATCGCATTGCTCTTCAAAAGAATCCCGATAAAAATGAGACCCTAAGAATCAGGGAGGGAGACTTAAGACTTAAGATATTTGGCTAGCGTTTGTTCTGGGTCTAACGCCACCAAACGCTTAAAAACCAGTTTGTGTTTTCCTGAGAAGACCCTATACAACCTCTATCAGTATCTATCAGTTAGATAAAAGGTCAAATGGACTGATTCTTGCTTATTTGCTTATCTGTTGCTTATTCTTGCTTATTTGTTGCGCGAGCATCGGTAACAGGCGGGTGGTCTCCGGGAGGGTGGGTCGGTACCTGGTTGACCGCGGCGTGCTCCCTTAGCGCCAGATCCCAGAAGCAGCAGCCGATCTGGTTTCCGCACTGGCCGACTGCG